CTCTCGAGCCTAACCATCAGTTGCACTGCAGCGCGTCATATGGAGAACCCCAAGGCACAACGGCACGAGTGGGGTCCGTAAGACGATCGGTGAGCGCCTCTTTACCATTGCATATTCCTGTTCGCAACCGACAGGACAACGAACCATGGCTCAGTGGATGGGGCGTTGGTCTTCTAATCAACAGGTAGGGGATCGAGCCCCAAGTGCTGCACATCTCGAGCTTGGAGATGACTAGCTGATGACGACTAATAAGCCAGAAACATCCATTCCAGTCTCCCCTGTCTTTGTCGGTAATGTCATTCTGTCTATATTACGCGCCGTTCTACGGCTGCTGGTTGAGCTCAACAGAGAGAGAGTTCCGATGCACAGATTAATGAGTGAGTTCCGTAACACGATCGGTGACCGCCTCTGTACCATTATATATGTATAAGTCGAGGGAAATAAGTCCTTTGGAAAGGACACGGCAGTTTATTTCCTAACTTTTCGACTCTGGTTTCTCAGGTCGTTCTAAGACGTGAAGTAAGTTTAGGCAACAATTACAATTTAGGCATGCCTAAAATCGATATTACTTTGTCAATCCTGCCAGTCAGCTTTTACTGTGGGTTGGCATTGACGCCCTTATAAATTGAGACATATCTTATAGAAAACATGGCGAAATAATTTGCCTTCTACTTATTGGGTTGGAAATCACATCTTCAAACTTTGTACTTGAAGCAGGGTTGACTCTTGGTTTTAACAAGTTTGCAAATATGAGACTTACCATGATTTGGATTAGCATTAGCACATTTGCTGATGCTGCTTATAAAGTGGATAACGTGGCCCACATCCGTTACAAAATTTTACGAGTCCTATGTGTTCCCTTTTTATGGCGCATAAAAGCATATGATCTGATTTACACAAAGAGTATGCAGCTTGTAGTTCGCAAACCCTGAATGCAGGCGTAATGGCAGGCTTGATTCAAAATTATTCGGGAATTCAAAAAAACGTTTTTTAACCCCAAAATATTCTTTCCTCGAGCATACAATTTAAAGAAGTCCTAATTTGCTACCAAATGAGTAAGTGAAAGAATATTTTAGTGCATGCTCTTTACAAAATATATTTGCATTTATAAGGGTATTAAAAATCAATGAAAATAATTCACGCTAATTAGGCGGTCATTTTTATGGGAAGCGGCTTATGTAAGCGATCGATAAGACGTTCGTTAAAATAACCAACACCCTGACGTGACTAGATTATCTTTATAGTGTGCGACATAATAATTAGCCGAGAAAACACGCACATCATTTTCTACCATCGGAATCTCATATAGCCTGATGTAATTATTGGACATCGACTTTCATTTTATTGCAGCCACCACGAATTTTCGAAATATTGGCATTGTTTTGAAGGATGGTGCGGTTTGAACGTTGGCAGGGCTATTAGAATTAATGTTCAAGCAGCAAATGCAGGCCAAAGGACCAGTAGAGTGATTTGTTTGAGTAAATACCTGTCGAAACACGCAGGATAGCATGAACTTAGCCAGCGCTTAATTTTGGTTTGAGGGTGTATTTGAGCAAAGATACCGTAACTATTGTGGAACAACGATCGCAAGTGTACGTACGACGAACATACTGCAGCAGTCTGCTACAGCTTGAACGAGGGATGACTATACTGAATAACATACAGTAGTATTGCTTTGCCGATTGAAGTTCGTTTTGTATGTTTATAAAATGCGCACATTCAGTATGTAAGCTATAGGGTAAATCAGTCAAAATCTTCGCGTTACTTGCATTCATGACTGAAAGACAGAGCAGAACCTCTAAGGTATAAAACTTTAAGGCGTAAATTCAAGTGCAGGCAGAATATAATACAGTCAGTGAAGCTCTGAAATCTCTTCAGCTACAACTTAAAGTGAATGGAAAATAACTGTCGAATTGAGGTCACTCCGGAGGATGGGCGCAAATAACCGTAAGGTCAAGTGTCGGAGTTCAACTTACAGGGACTGAGAAACCAGACAGCAGGGTGGAGTTCACAGATTGCATAATTCACCCTGGTTAGGAAAAATTTACAACGAGAAAAACGTAAAGAAACGAAAAATAGTTGGAAAACAAAAAATAGATGATCACAGAAAGACGGTCGATATAGGGTTTTCACCGTGAAGCAAAACTGGATGCGTAATCTATATGCGCGAGTTAAGTTTTGCCCTCTAGCTGCAAAGTGCCTCCAAATAGCCACGGCATCGATTCGTACGCACTCGAGGAAGGATCCGGAAGGTTGCTCTCTGTTCAAGGGAGTATCAGTTGTCTGGGGGAGGGGGAGCGCTTCGTGGCGCGGAAGAGGGAATTTTTCGAAATGCTTGACTACGCTCGATAGGTTTCCGAGGAATGCAATAATCCTTGGTGGCAAAAATGAGCGAAACAGTAAATAAAAGAAGTCTGTCAGTACTTTTGAAGGCGATAGTCCTTAGAATCCATTTAAGCAGCTGCTCGAGGCGCTCACGAATCAGCAAAAACGCAGTTTACGTATACACTTTACAGTCACACTAGAGCCATGCTGAGGAGCCTAGTTAAGGTTTTCTTGCTCTGCACATCGCTGTAATTCACGTCTGGCAATTCGCGGACACCGGTGGATGCATGGTCAACGATTATTTTATTAAGTAAACGCATTCCCAAAGGCTTCTTTAGCCCGAAAATAACTTTCTCGTTAGCCTCACAGGAAGCCCTCTCAAATATCGGAAACTTCTTTGGCTAGCTTCTATCTTTCCGAACGGAACATGTGCAAGTAGATAATTTCGCCGATCTTGCGTCATTATAAGGACTGCAATTCGTTGTTTGTTCTTTTTTTATCTTTTTTATTTGACTCTTAATATATCTTTCGTTTTTGTTATGACCCGCCTGGTACTTGAAATCCCGTGGAGCGTATACGCACTCGACCCTAGTCCCAAAGACCAACGCGACAGAGAAGGAGAACGCGACCGGCTACGAAAATGTGTATCAGGAAATTGCAACTCAAAATTAACTGGAAGTGACGCATATTTAGAACGCCCTACTGTGCTTCGCCGTCGTTCGGCCCAATGCCCTTCGGGAAGAACATTCCGGACGAGTCGGTCGATAATTCGAATATGCAGATCGATCAGGCCCGAGAGGAAAAGCCAATGGAGAGGCGCCACGATTAAGATGACAGCGCAGTAGAGAAAACGCACGTGGCCTCCAGTGATTGGCTGGATCTTGTTTCTGGGAGTGTAGGCACTCCGAACACCTCCCCTCCAAGTAGGTCAGAACCGCTTCTGGCGTGGATTGGCCTGCATCGGCCGTGTTGATCGGCGCACGCGGTTGGTCTGGCGTCTTAGTCGTGGTTTATTGCCTGGAGACACGGGAGCAGTGACTGATACCGAAGGTGGTATATCCGAAGGGGACGCAGCAGTGGTTTCGAGAACCGACCGATCTGCCGGAATGGCGATGGTATCCAGTAGGATGTCAAGGGGGAGTGACGGCGTCGACTCGAGCCTATTTGTGTTACTGCAATGTCGCCATCGGATCTGGTTGTGGTGACGAACCGAGATGCCATCACCAACGTCGACGTCAAACAACATACTGCCTCTGTGCGCTACTACGGTTGCCTCAATCCAGTCTGGGAACCCCGCTCCATAATCACGAACGAAGACCGGTGTTCGATGGAGAGCTTGTTGCGAGAGACTGGAGAAGTCTGTGCGGGCTGCGCACCGGTAGGGACGAGGGCATGAAACGTTGTACGCAGTTTTCGGCCCATCAACGCTTCGGCAGGAGAAACGCCACCAGGGGACGCCGGGTTCGATGTTGCCCTGTAGGAAAACAGGAAAGTCTGGACTATCTCGTCTGTGGTCCCCTCTCCACGAGCTTTCAAAAGGGCTCTCTTAACAGTGTCGACAAAACGCTCCGCCTGACCGTTAGACTGAGGTTGGTAGGGCGGCGAGCGAAGATGCTGGATGTTGTGCTGGCGGCAGAAATCCTCAAACGTCGACGAAGTAAACTGAGAGCCATTATCTGAAACCAGGACTTTCGGTGAGCCATGCTGGCTAAAGATGCGTCGTAGGAAGGCGGTAGTGGCAAATGCGGTTGCTGGATTCAGCGGAGCAATCTCGGGCCACTTCGAGTAGGAGTCAACCAAGATTAGGTAGGAGACTCCGTTAAGTGGTCCAGCGAAGTCGATATGCACGCGTGACCAAGGCCTCTCCGGTGGTTGTCAGGGTACTGGCGGCTGACGAGACGGCATCTTGGCAGCTTGCTGACATCGAGAACAGCGTCGAACCAGGTCGTCGATGTCGCCGTCGATACCCGGCCAGTAAGCAAAACTGCGAGCAATAGACTTCGTTCGGCTGGTACCAGGATGAGCAGCATGGAACTGGCGTAGTACAGTGGGTCGGAGGGAAAATGGGATCACCACACGGTCCGCAAACATGAGGCAGGAGTCGACCAGAGATAGCGACGATGCTCGGCGGAGGAAGAGCTGGCGAGGATCACCAGCGAAAGCAGTAGTTGGCCAGCAGGTCTGCACGTAGGTGATGGCCTGACGGATGATGGGATCCTGTTCAGTGGCAAGTCGGATGTCCGCGGCAGTGACAGGGACACCTCGTATGGCGTCTGATAGCTGACGGCGCACATCGTCCTCATTTTTTTATCCCTAATGACGTGTGTGAACTGCGCGATTGGTTGTGTAAACTCCACTACCCTCTCTCTTATATTAATTCTTGTGAATTCAACTCCCACATCTGACCTTGCTTATTTTTATGCCAATCGTCTATCGGGATTTCAGTTCGATGATATTTCGCCCACTCGCGGTAGGTGGAAGTAGAAGACCCCGCGAGGGAGTTGATGGCTTAGAGAAACTATGTCCTGATAGGAATTTATGCCATCTATAACTTTGCATCCAGATCCAATGACCTTATTTGGTAATGGTTGTATAGCTAGAAAGCTGCTGCTTCCTAATCTATGAACACAATGAAAAAAGACGGAGGGCTAGTAGTTCATTAACTACTTTTGACCCTAAATGTAGCTTGAGAAAAATAAATTCCCACGGCTCCACTGTTGCAGTGAATTTTTCACTAGCACCCCGAGTGCGGTATGACTTTACGCTATAATAAAAAGAGGCAATTTTTAAAGAAGTCACAAAAGCATGGCTATAGATTAAAGTCCAGACATCAGATCCATCAAGGCTCTGACCCCAGAAGATACAACTGAGAGGGGTTCAGCTCCTCACGGGCTCCCTCAGAGTCTCAATGTCGCTTTGAATATGTACTACAGTTCTTCCATTTGAAGTATGAAATTTCCTCAGGGCTAATCAAAGATTTTAGAATAGTTTTCAGGACACAATTTTTAGACCAATCACAAATTCGAGACTTTAGCACAAAAGAATCTTTCGACAACTTTTTAATCTCCACAAGAAAATATTTGTCTGCGCAGACTACAGATGAGGTAAATACTCAAAGGCGGATAATTGTAGGAATTAAGTCGGCGACAGTTTGGCGACAAGACCTGTCTACCGGCTCTCGAATAATCTATGGGTTTTCCATCGAGAAGAGCACACATGAAATATTTACCTATGTCTTGCGCTGAAGAAATTATCGAAATTTCCCATGGTGAAGTGTGTTGGAGTCGGTTCAAATCCCGACAGGGGCCTACAGCGTCATGAGATGACTGACAATTCATGCAAAATATTTCATCCTCGAAAGCCGGGGAATTTTGTGCCAGATAGGTCTCTTTTGATAAGACCACCGACAAAAGGCTTTTCGGTCGCACAGCACCAGTGGGGATTTGAATGACATGATCACAACTGATAGTGTTTGAGATGCAGGGCTTCAAGATGCATGAATGGAAAGTGTCCAACTCCAATCATTCTTGATGCGGGGCCTTTAACGGATCAGCCGGAAATGAGTAATCAACAACAAAGAAGTCTCGAATTGTAGTTGATATCCACGTAATTTAGCTCTTATCTATTTGAAAACTGGCTTTGTGCCTAAAACCTTGAAGGGTGCTTTTCCGTCCAGATTCCTTGGGTAGATGGTGGGAAAATTAGAAACCCCGCTCTCAGTTCAGATTATCCACTCGAATCGAACGAAAAGTTCATACTAATGAAAATGACATACAAGTAAACTAGTAAGTTGACAGATGTTACTGGAGAACAGACTTCAGGATAACTGCAGTCCCTCCAGCCGTTACCGTGATAAGTAATTTTATCTAAGAGTAAGCAGCAAAAAGAGAAGCAGTGAAACCATCTGTTTCTGAATGGCTGCTGAGATCCATATTAGGTGGAAGTGTAATTTGTTTGTTAGAGATCTGAATGGGATCTGTATGGATCTTAGTCCTCAGGTTTCTCCAAGTTGTGATTAAGGTCTGGCCTACACACTAGAACGAGACGGGCAAAATTAGTTTGTTTAGTCTCTTTGAGTTTGACAGAACGTCCTGACACTGCCGTCACGGACGGCTACCACAGCGGCGTGTGACACAAGTCAGAAGGAAGCCATTGCCGGAGACTTTTGCAACGACCGGTCTCTCAATTTCCAAGTCAGCTTGATTTCCGAACTGGGGTAACGGAATATCATTATGCGAGCAGAGGTACTAGCCAAATGCGCACTACGGTATCTTTTAACCCCAGTGTATAAGACTAGCTTCCGGTTGGCAGTTAAATGAATATTATTGCTGATGGACTTCGAACTGCGAATCCAGACTCTAGTTCAGACTGATTTACTCCCTGTTAGTGATTAATTACTATAGAAGTCGAAAAGCAAAATCGGCTCAGAACTGCCGCAGGTAGATGCTGCATGTGGATGAGAAATGTACTGTTGAAGACCGCAGGGTCAACGTAAACGCCACGAACTGTAGTACAGCAGACCTGGCCTTCAACCATCTCCACGCACTGAAAGTTGTGGCTTTGAGGAATGTCAACTGACAGGATAAATCGATCCTCCTCTTTACACGACTCAGAGTGACTGCGTAAAATATGCCTGTGTGAACATAGTGCAGCAGGAAAGCATATAACTAAAACATCTCAAAACGTCAACTGTTTCCAATCAGAGCATTCGTTTACAGAAACCTACAACGTTCTAGTGACACGTTTTATGCCTATGAGGTGGACCATTTGTTGGTTTCTTCAGTCAACAGTACCTGGTTTTCGTGTTCACACTAGAAATGACGGAGAAGCCTGTACAATGGTTTACACGATTTTATCCGTTATTTTTGGGCGAGGTATGATCCTGCAGCCCCAGTTGACTGAGACCATATGATTGGCTTCCTAAATAATTTTTGCAGATGCGATTACGCCAACTTAACACATCATACATGGTTGGGCCTTCCTTACACTTTTAATGCAACAAGTGACTGTGGCTCCTGTTGGGGAGTCCTTATACGCCATCCTCGGGCTACATCAGGTATCAGCTCACACGCGTTTCCCTGCGCGTGCTTCGAGGTCCTGGTTCTTTTAATCCAGCGAGTGACGGTGTTGCGTAATGTGTACACGCCATCTTCGGTTACAGCAAGCCTCAGTTCACACGCACTTCCCTGCACATGCTTGCGCTTTCTAAAACTAAAATGGGTTTAGTAAGCTAATCGTATGGCATCATTCGAGTGGGACTGCAGGAACAAACCTGGCCGATTTTTGTGTGGGAATGACTACAGGCCATTTTGACGTGATGCAGTGCATGGATTACGTCTACCTTACTGTCTAGAATTGTTAGTAGTCTAACGCAAAGCGGATGATTGGCCAATTTCGACGGACATCCCACCAAGTCATGTGAAATGGTGGTTCAGTAGCCTGCATTGTATGCATGTCCTCGAGTCAACCATGGGTGAACCCAATCGGTAAGCCGGCCGAAAATATGGCATCCGTTGCCATCTATGCAGACTGCTTTAAGTGGAAGTAAACGAACTGCCACGATGCAATACACAAACGTGTCAAGAAGATGGACATTATGCTGCAGAGATGCATCAGACTGATTTAGCCACTGCTCGCTTCTTAAATTGCGCCTTCCTATACACTCTGAATTCAGCGAATGACTGTGACTCCTGTTGGGGAGTCCTTATACGCCATCCTCGGGCTACATCAGGTATCAGCTCACACGCGCTTCCCTGCGTGTCCTTCGAGCTCTGCTTGCGTTCTCCTTATTATCTTAATCTAACGATTGCCTAAATAGGATTGTTAATGGTGGACGGATCGAAACACAGTGGATTCCACTACAGTGGCCAGGCACTGCGAATTAACAAGCGGCCCTCCAGTTCTGATTGCACCTTCCCTAGTCCTCTTAATCCAGCGAATGACTATGTCGCGTGGAGGGTGTACACGCCATCTTCGGTTGCACCAAGCACCCGTTAACACGCGCTTCCCTGCGTTTGCTTTGGCCTCTGCTTGCGCTCTCCAAGACTAAAACTGTTCTAGTAAGCGAATCCTATGACATCAGTCAAATGGAGCTGCAGGAACCAGCCTCACCTACAGACCAATTTGACATGTTGCAATGCATGAATTATGTCTACCTTCCTGTCCATAATTGTGTGAGCATTCGAACCCAAAGGGGGTGACTGACCAATTTCGACGGACATCCCACCAAGTCATGTGAAATGGTGGTTCAGTAGCCTTATTTGGACCCATGTCATGGAGTCGACCATGGATGAATCAAGGCGGTAAGTCGACCGAAAATATGGCATCCGTTGCCATCTATGCAGACTGCTTTAAGTGGAAGTAAACGAACTGCCAAGATGCAATACACAAACGTGTCAAGAAGATGGACATTATGCTGCAGAGATGCATCAGACTGATTTAGCCACTGCTCGCTTCTTAAATTGACCTTAGAATTACACCTAGCCGACCGAACAGAAACCGGAAGCACGCACATATAGGCACAGAAGGAGTATTTCAGCATGGAGAAGATCCATTGGCTCAAATTTACTGTCGCGGAAATAGTCACAGGGGTTGAGGGCAAGAAGAACAGCATGTTTATCGCGGCCTGGGTGTCAGATTAGCATTTAGCTGATAGGAACATTTAAATGTTATCCGTGCATACGTCCCTGCACAATCATCTCCGGACGTATATATGCTTATATCTCCTTCCAGAAAAGATATTTTATTTTTGGGTACCTAATTCCTGCCTACGTACACTGGAAAGTGATCCCTTGACCCCACATTTTATCACACCTGATACGGAGAGCGCATACATTTTACCAGTTGATATTTCGAATAATTATGGTTTAGCTTCAGAAAATTGTGGTGTCAGGATTTCCACATTTTAAAACTTTATCTCAACTGCAGCAAAAGACTATACGAAAAATTTGATAATGTCGTCCAGGCAAAATTACCCAAAACGCGCTATCCATACCTAACAAATGAACGCAATTTAAATGAGCATGTTAGTGGTAGAGCAACATGTCCTCGAGTCAACCATGGGTGAAGCAAATCGGTAAGCCGGCCGAAAATATGGCATACATTGTCACCTATGCAGACTGTTCCAGGTGGAAGTAAACGAACTGCCACGAGACACTACAGCAATGTGTCCAACAGGTGAACATTAAGCAGCAGGGATGCATCAGACTGATTTAGCTGCTGCGAGCCGCCTAGTCATTAATCCTATGCCCGCTTCTAAAACTGACCCCGTCATTACACCTAGCTGACCGAACAGAAATCGGAAGCACGCGCATATGAGCAGAGAAGAAAATATGTCAGCAAGTGGACTAATTATCCCACTTTGCAGTCCACGCCATGGAGAAGGTCCATTAGTGCGAAGTTGCTGTCGCGGAAATGAACGCAGGGGCTCAGAGCAAGAAGACCAACATGTTTTTTCGTGGCCTGAGTGTCCGTTTAGCAGTTAGTTAATAGGCATATTGAATTGTTATTCATCTGCACGTCTCTACACAACCCTCTCAGGACACGCAACCATTCCAGTCTCCCTTGTCTTTGTCCGTAATAACATTCTGCCTATGTCATGCGCCGCTGTGCGGCTGCTGGTTGGGCTCGAGAGAGGGGCCGTAAGACACAAGGGAACGAATGAGTTCCGTAAGAACGATCGGTGAGCGCCCACATCAACCAGTGTACATTCCCAATCGAAACCGACAGAAAAACGAGCCCGTTGCTTAGTAGTTAGGGGCGGTTGACTTCAACTAGCAAGTCGCGGGATCGAGCCCCAAGTGTCCCACACTTCGGGGTTAGGTATGACTGGCTGACGACACGTAATAAAGTAGAAATGGTCATTCCAATCTCCCTTGTCTATGTCTGTAATAACATTCTGCCTGTACCACTGTTCTCTTAATGCCTGCTATTGAACTGTTTCGACGGACGTTTCCTGGCATGTGGGTGCATAATACCGCCATTGGCATTAGGTGCATATCTACTTCCAGAAAAGAGATACCGTTCTAGGGCACCACATTTCTGTCTTGTCTACATAAACTGCGATGTGATCTTTCGATCGCACTTCATATCCCATCTGATGCTAAGAACGCATAAATTTTGCCAGTAGATTTTTCGAAAAATTATGGGTTATCTATGCAAAATTGAGAGGCAGTAGGACGTTCGAATGTTAAGACGGTATCTCAACTACAACAAAAGACTATACGCAAAACCGGATAAATTTGTATTGGCAAAATGATGAAATGTTGAACCAGTATGTGTTATCCGTACCTAACGAACGACCGCAAGTTATATGAGCATGATAATGGTAGAGCAAAATTAACAGGTTTGACAAGAATGTCGTTTATGAACTCCCTTGGACTCTTTCCTATCCACTGCACGTCTCGTACATCTGGGTTCATGCTTCCTCGGCGAGTGAAGACGACTGGAGCTTTGATTTGCACTTTTCGGGAGGAATGGTGGGACACACGGACTGCATGCATTTCTGCATCCATTTGTTCTATCAAAAACACTTGTGTTATTGGCCTTCCTAGTGTATCCTATTTTAAAAGGAATGAGGGTAACCATCGCCTGTACAATCCTACCTTACAGTCGATTTGGAGGACAGACTGCGCGATGCTGACCTTACATTTATAGGCTTGCCTCGGGATATTTAACACCCTTTCAGTTTGTTCACACGAGGAACCGGTTCCGAAAATGAACTCGGTAACCATGGCGGAACAGTCTTCGTAGCGCAGATGGGTGATGGGGGCCGGCTTGTTTAGTGTTTCTCTTAGAACGGCTTGTAGGAATTTAACCATGTCTTGTTTGTGCGCATTTGGACAGGTGTAATCTGTAGGGGAGAAAAGTGTGCATTAAAAAGGAAGGGTAAGGTCCGCCAGAAGACCTCACAGAAATGACACCGGTAAACGGTTACCTGCAGAATAGACAACTGTCAGTGACGCATAAAGCGAAACAATCGCCAGAGGATAGAAGCAGAGGAGCATTTCGTCACTGGTCTTGAGGTGTGTTGCCGCTCTTTTATTGTTTGGCTCTCTACAGCAATGACCTGATTGGTCAGTAGGCGAGGGGAAATCCATTGGCCTGTCTGTCGAGGCGTCAATCAAAAGTCGGCAAAGCTCTCTAGAGCAGAGACCTTGGTCTGACGTCAAATAACTCATGACCAATGTACAGAGGGTAGGCAGAGCCTGATCACAGATAGGTTTGACTGAGATAAGCATACACGATGATGTTACAGTCTGTTCTTGAGACGTGAGATTAAAATGACACCGGTCTTCGGATTGCCGTTATTTGCCTTAGGCGATGTTTATGCGACAGATTTTAGACCAGTTAATGCAGGGAACGCAAATCTTCCGATTAACCAAAAATAGAAGCGCCCTCAGAACTTAGCGTGAGACAGGATACATGGGCAGTTTGGATTGCGGCCAGATTTTTATGCAAAGTTGGCTGCCGGATGCAATGCGTTTATGGTAATACCATATTAATATCCAAACATTTGCCATAGACGTAAAAAGAATGGATTGCTTTTATCACCAATGTGCTCGACAGACTGAAATTTTCTCACAGAATCCTATATGTTTACTGGGTGTCTAAACCAAGGCAATATATTTCAGTATGACTAGTTGGACGTGCATGGTCAAATTTTTCCGGATGGGTTATCGTTTTTATTGGCCGTATCACGTTTGCCAAAACGCACATTTCTTCGTCATAAAAAAGTGCAGGAACTTAGTGAAAACTAGCACCAAAATAGTAGCACGGAACTACCCACAGGCGGCTTATTTCTGCTTGCAATTAGGAAATAATAGACATCCCTGTTGGTTTAGGATTACAAGACTATCGTTTTCACAAGTAATCAAAAATGAACTTAATAGTCCTTGATCTTTAGTCTCGTTCAGCAACGTGTACCTTGCATAGCTCCATATACTTAAAAGTATACTATCGTTTAGTTATAGGCTATGACGCCAATAAAGTAACTTCATTCACTGTCAGGACGCAAGCGTACCTGTCCATCCAAATTCATCCTTAGTAGATAAGGCCATGTGCCACCATTCTAACAGCTTTTTACTCCAGGAAAGACGTTCGGCCACTTTTACAATTGCCAATTTTGCCATATCGTGTTGCTGTTTTTTTTAAAAAGTGCAAAATGCCAGTCTCATGTACATATATGAGATGGCAATGAGAAAGACAACGTAGACCGGAATAGCCATTTCTGTCTTCTGAGCCGTCATCAGCCGGTCATGCCGAAACCCAAGTGTGGATCACTTTAGATTCGAACCCAGGATCTTTAGCCATGTCGTTTAACAACCTACCATTGAGCTACAGGCCCGTTGTTTTGCTCTCGTGGTTGTGATCGCGAATCTTATTTACGTCTAATAATAGTCACTGTGCGACCGACTGTGAAGGTTCTAGTATGAGCCCGCTCCGTGACCTGATCTGCGAGCGCCCATCTTCCGGCGACTACTTGACGTACTCAGCTTGTACACCCTAAGGACAGAGTTGGCTATCTTGATAAGAAAGTAGTCGTCCATAAGATCCCATGCGGTGCCTGTGGTGCTGTATATTGTAGCCAGACGGGAAAGTCTGTCTCTACACGCATCCATGAACATCAACTGGCAGTTAAAATGCGTGACCACCCGTCCCAACTGGCCATGCACCCTCTAGACACTGGATACACCTTCGCATGGGTCAAAACTCGCATCGTCGGAGTTTGTCCCTCTCAAAACGACCAAGAGTTTCTCAAAGCCGCGCACTCCGAAGAAACATGAATCAATCGACATGCTCAGTTAGATTCCACGTACAAAAATCTCAGGGAAAAGTGGAAGAGAAGAGACCCAATCAATGCCGAATGACGCACACGGCGGCCTCTTACTGGCGCAAACGCCAAATGAATATCGATTCTTAAGCACGTTTGGAATGATAATTGTTTTTTGCACATTTGCTCAAGTCTGAAGACGACCTGGGGAACCAGCGTCGAAAATTTACTTTATAAAGTTTTCTTCTTTTCCCGAAGAACGTTGTTACTTTTAAATTATATTTCTTAGGATGACTGCGTTCAAATTCATATGTATATATATGGTGTCTCGAATTAAGAAAATTCCCAAAACTTCAACTCATCCGAGTAAAGTTATCTAAACCTAGGCGCATTCTAATCGCTGTCGCAACGCGTAAAGCCAATGCGTTAGGCATGAGAATAAAATCATCCAGCTACTCTTGGACTCTGCGGATGGAAGAGGACATTCCACGTCTGAAAAATAATATGGCATTAAACACCTCTTTGGAAAATGTACAGTACTTAGTGTTATGGTTGTTTCATTGCTGGTCGCACATCACTTGCCTTATGTGAGAGGGGTATTTTTGCCCAGACGCCCATCACAGCGCATTCCACGGGCTGCGCGACCTGCATGCACAGGAGAAGCAGAGACAGCGAGTCCCCAATCCGGAAATAGACAGTAGTGTCTGAGTACAAACAAATACAGATTTCCTGTCTCTCACATGGACTATTTTCTAAGGATATGTTGCTATCCATTGTAGTATTGTGGGTCTGAGAGTCGGATTACATCGAAAGTTTAAGCCATGCACGCGAACAAAATCGCCAAAATGAGAAGTTCGAAGGTAGCCTAATTGTCATGGCTGTGTTCAAAGCAGACCTTGCCTGTTTGTGATATAAAGCGCATTGGAAGTAGAGGCTTATTTTTAAAGCGTAAAACCTTGACCGCGAATTATAAAAAATTTATTAATTGATACTCGCTTGAACATGTAAGCGAATAAAATGCTTATTTTTTCTCAAAGAACTTCCGAAAACTTTTGGTATCGCGGGTTCCCAGTATCTGGTTATATTTTTGTTTAATTATTTGACTGCGTTTCCTGGTATTGTAAATCAACGCTTTTACAGTTTGTGTTACAATGGCCGAAACATATTGACTGACACGGCAAAATGCATGATTGAGGTTTTGAAACACTCGCTTAGTCCGTATTCGGAAACCTCTATGAAGCAATACCATGGAGAATAGGCCGATCATTCTAGACTTACTGCCTATCGGTGGCCAGACTTACGCCATGCTCGAAAGGGAAAAACAGACAGTTCGTGTTCAGTCAAACATGCAATTGATTTTGATGCTTACGTTCTGTCACGGGGGGATTCCCGACGGAGTAAGACCGGACTGACCACTTCGGGCCTACCGTCTATCGGCGACCAGATTTGCGTTAAGCCCAGACGAGGAGGGCGGGCGGTTTGTATTCAGTTCAACTTACCAGAAATTATGATATCGAGAGAAATGCTGGTATCCACAAGTTTTACGCCTTCTCGTAGCGTTGATGGAGCAGTGAATGTAAGGATGGCGCTGAAGTTTTCTTAATTCGTTTATTGCCTATCGAGTAATATCTGCTTTCGTTTATTAGAGAACCCTCGAAATTCAAATCTTACGGCGTCTTTGGAAGGGCGGATGTCCCCGGAAGACCGTTAAAGCGAATTATTTAGTTTTCCTTGAAGGATACCATTTTAAGAATGCTCCAAATATTCTTGAAAGCTGATACCGCTAACTAACTTTACCGGCAAAGTCAGAGGATACTGAAATGACCCTTTCTGGCTTATTAGCACTCATCGGTCAGCCATGCCTGGGGCCAGATTTTCACAGCCCTGAAGCTCGAACCCACGACACGTTAGTTTGAAGTCCAACAAACTAACCACTGGGCTACGGGCTCTTTGTCTGTCGTTTGCGATCGGCTTCATTAAGAATGGTAGGAGGGCCAGGGCTGGTTGCTAAATGTGAAAGGACTAAAGAAATTAGCAGAAACAGAGCGTAGCCACCAAGGTAATCATATGCGGTGGTTAGTCCAGTACGGGCTGAATTTAATACAGTCAGCAAATCTCTTGAAATCTCTTCAGCCACAACTTATCGCGAATGGAAAAAAACTGTCGAATTGAGGTCTTTTCAGAGGATGGATGCAAATAAAGGAAAGGTCAAATGTTGGAGTTCAACTTGCAAGAATTGAGAGGCGAGACAGGTGGGTGGAGTTCACAGATTGCATAATCCACCCTCATTAGGGAAAATTTCCAACGAGAGAAATGTGATGAACCAGAATGTAGTTGGAAAGCAACGAATAGATGAACGTAGAAATACGAGCGATGTAGAATTACCACCATGAAGCAAAACTGAAAGCGTAATCTGTCTGAACGAGTTAAGTTTAACCCTCTTGCTGAAGACTGCCTATAAATACCAAAAAGTCCGATTTGTACGTTTTTGTGAGAGGATCCGGAAGGTTATTCTCTGGTCAACGGAGTATCAGTGGTCTGGGGAGGGACATTTTGTGATGCAGGAACAGGGATGTTTTCGAAATGCTTGACTACACTCGTGAGGTTGCTGAGGAATGCAATAATAGTTGGTGGCAAAAAGGAGCGAAACAGTAAATAAAAGAAGTCTGTCAGTACTTTTGAAGGCGATAGTCCTTAGAATACATTTAAGCAGCTGCTCGAGGCGCTCACGAATCAGCAAAAACGCAGTTTACCTATACACTTTACAGTCACATAAGAGCCATGCTGACGAGCCTAGATAGGGTGTTCTTGCTTTGCACATCGCTGTAATTTACATCTTTCAATTCGCAGACACCGGTGTATGCATGGTTAACAAATATATGATAACTTAAACGCATTCCCACGGACCCCTTAAGTCCGAAAATAAATTCCCTCTTTGTCTAGGTCTTATGCCCTCAATTATCGGAAATTTCGTTGAACCGATTCTGGCTTTCCGAACGGAACATGTGTAGCTAAATAATTTTATCAATCGTGTCTCATAGTAACCATTGCAATTCAGTTTATTTCAGTTTATTTGGTAAGGATAATGGGCATAGCCTTTGAAAACCCTATTGATTACATGTCAGCTCGTTAGAAATAACTGTGCACGGACAATAAAAATATTCGCTATTAAAACAGTACTTGATTCATTTGATTACCACTGTCTCAGAGAAAATATTTGCGGGGTTGCGGGGTATTAGTTCAGATTCAGACTGTCGAGGGAAAACAGGGGACACAAATACTCATCCAAGCGTTTCTTGAAGAGTTTCAGAGACGTAGCCTCCACGACTGACTGAGGGAGATCGTTCCATTTCTCCACTACCCTCTGCGTGAAAAATTCAGAACGAAGATTCAGCCTGGACATTGTTGTCCGTAACTTCATCGAGTGACCACGAAGATTGGGTGAAAGGTGCCACTGAAACATGTCCTCAAATTTAAGTCCAAGCTCAAGGCCATGTATTATCTTGTAGACGAGGATAAGATCACCTCTTTGCTGCCTGTAACACAGAGGGAACAAATGAAGGCAATTCAGTCTGTCCGTGTAGGATTGGCTTTTTAGATCGTTTACCAGCTTTGTTGCACGCCGTTGTACCCGTTCGAGGCATGCTTGGTCCTTTACTAGCCATGGCCGTCATGCTTGTATGCCATATTCTAAGTGGGGCCGAACAAAAGTGCCGTAAAGTCACTCAAAAAGGTCTTGGTCAAAGTTTATGAAAGCCCTTTTTATTGCATGCAGCACTCCCATGGCGTTTTTTGCAGCCTTGTGGCACTGCAGTGTTGGTTTCAGGTTGTTCTGTATCCAAACCCCGAGATCCTTCTCTGAAGATTCTGCAGGGAGCCTTATATCTTTCAGGTGATATGTCCTCAGGCTCTCATTTTAATGAGAGTTGGTTGGACGCAGATGAAGGACGGCACACTTCTCCACATTGAAATCTAGAAGCCATTTCTTCGACCACGCTTGCAGTCGGTGCAGATTATCTTGAAGGGATCTCTGATCATTCGGACCCTTAATGACTTGCCAGAGCTTAACGTCGTCTGCAAACATTATTTTGCCGCATTCGAGTTCCTGAAGGCTGTCGTTAACATAAAGGATGAAGAGCAATGGTCCCAGAACTGAGCCTTGGGGCACACCACTGGTCACGTTCACTCATTCTGACATATCATCTCCGATACAGACACGTTGTTTCCGACCAACTAGAAACGCCCTAATCCAGTTCAGAAGATCTCCCCGGATGCCGATGGTGCTAAATTTGTGATGAAGGCGTTGGCGCGGAACAGCATCAAAAGCTTTGCGGAAATCGATATACACCACATCGACCTCAAAACCCTCTCCTAGAGCCCTGGTCCAGATCTCCAGACAAGCTAGCAGATTTGAGAGGCAGGAACGTCTTCTCCGGAAGCTATGCTGAAAATCCTGCAAGATGTTATTTTCTTCACAAAACTGCTGCATAGCGCTCTTTACTAGAGCTTCCATCGCTTTGCATGGGAGGCAAGTTAAACTAATAGGCCTAAAGCTGCTTACTGTCATCCTGCTACCTCCCTTATGCAAGGGAACGAGGTTAGCTGTCTTCCACTACGATGGCAGCCTTCCTGTTTTTATTGACAGCTCAAAGAGAGTCGAAAGAGGCTTTGACAGCTCCGTTGATAGCTCCTTAAGTATTGGTCCGGGAATTCCGTCGGATCCGGGAGATATTCAGGTTTTATTTGACTGAGGACGCGTCTTACTTCTTCGACGGAAAAAGCGACGGTTTCAATGACGGCAGTATCTTGGCGCATTTGAAGCTCCCGCTCTATCGGTCCATTTCAAACTGCTGATTGTCTTCTGAGGACTCCTACGTAAAAACCGATTGAAAAAACTGAGACAGTAATCACACTTTCTGTGGCCCTTCAACTGATAAGTTTCCGAGGCTATCCTTTAGACACGCGATTTCGTCCCTATGTTTCCTTCTACTACGGATGTACCCGTAAAACTTCTTGGGACATGTAATGGATTCCACTATCAGTCGGCGCTCGAAAGAAGTTCTAGCAACCCGTATTTGTTTGCGGCATTTATTGCGCTGATCCTTATATTCGGCGAATGACCTTGGATCTCGAAGTTGCAGATAATTTTTCCTCAATCTCTGTTTATTCTTCATGGTCTTTTTTGTCGTCGGATGGACCCACGGCGGTCGCGCACATGATCTTGTCATTTTTATTGGACAATGGGAATCAATTAGACGCTCTATAGTCCCGCGAAAGTACTGCCAGAATTCTTCTGAATCTTCTGTGTGGACCAACCAGGCTTCCTCCAAAAGAGTACACCTCATTGCTTTAAAGTCACCCTTCCAAATATTTCTGCGCCTCTTGATTTTTGGTTGTTGGTTCGATAGGAGAGAGCACACGCAGGTAAAAGCAATATGATCGCTTAACCCGAGTGGAGGTTGTGGATTCACTTCCCTTATGACTCCTTCTTCTTTACTGAAAACGAGATCTAAACAGTTAGATCGTTGTCCTTCTCTCAGTCTTGTTCCGAATTTTATGTGTTGAATGAGGTATTCATTCAGGGAGAGTTGTAGTAGCTTGTGGTCAAATGACGTGGACGGGGCGTTTGTTAGGGGAATGTTCCAGTCTATTCCTGGAGCCTTAAAGTCACCCAGAAGTAGTAAGTTCTCCTGTTTACATAACGACTCCAGTGCACTAAGTAATTCCATATCGGCGATTTCATTCGAGCTGGGAGGCCGATAGACAGCACACAGCTTCAGTGTCGGTAATTGTTTGATACATATCTAGCATGAAGTTATTTCAAAATTTTGCGGCACCCCATCGGATATTTCTCGCTGACAGCACGGAATTTCATTTGACATATAAATCGCTGTGCCTCCTCCTCTAGGCTGAAATCTGTCACAACGGAACAGTTGGTAGCCTTTACTACTGACTTCGCTACTACTCATTTCCTCAGTCAACCATGTCTCTGTTAGGACAATTATGTGAGGCTTCTGTTCAGAGACTAGTAATCTGAGTTCATCTAGCTTGTTGAGGAGACTGACAGTTTGTGTAATAGATTTCTAGACAACGGCCACTGGTGTGAGCAGCCTCAGGAGTTGGCACCTTTGCATCGGTTAGGCTGTCAGAATGACTGCCTTCGGCCAGAGAAATGTCCTTTTGACCTGAATTATTTGTCCGTTCTTGATTTGCAGGTGTGTTTCGCCACTGCTTCTCCGCTTTTCCGGCTCCGTCATCAGCTCTCTCATTTTCATTCGCTCTTTTGGCTCGTAATCCGGCCGAAAAAAAACCTCAGGATGCTGACCCCGCAGAGATGATTTTCTCTGTAACAGGAGCTGGGTCTGTGCTTCAGTCTCCAAAATGACTTTTAGGGGTCGAGGCCGGGAATCGGAACCGGATGCTGATTGAGTCTTCCCTATTCGGAATGCTTTGAGAACATTAAGTGACTCACAGTATCTTAACAAAGCTTTCGCATACACTTGAAGAAGGTCTAAGTCATGCTTAACTCTCTCCTTTGGAATTGCTGCCGTTGATTCGGGTACTCTTTTTATAACTACATTTTGCTTGCGACTGAATCTTGTGCTCGTTGTTGTCGGACATCTATTGAGTGACTGAGCGTTCTTCTCCAGTTTACTTGTTTCGCTGGTTCCAGATGAACTAGCTATTGGGCTAGCGAAACTGAGATCCGTGTACGATTCATTTATCTTCATGTTGATAGCCCTTCCTTCTGTGTTTCCGAGTTGTTGTCGGAAAAGCTTACCTCAGTTTCTTTCGAAGCCTCCTCTTGAATATTCGGTCCACAATGTGTTCCGATATCTTTATTGTTCAACATAGTTGAGAGCCTCCAGTGGTCCTTCGTACGCCTCCTGGTCGTGCTCCTCCGCTGGTCTGTGTGTACACAAGCGGCCTGCGTTTTTTTTGGACCGTTCTGAGGTGCGTGTTGTTTTTCTGGGATGTTTCTTTGTTCTCTGAGTTCGCTTTGGCTAGTCTTTTTCTCGCCTAAGAGACTGGAATTCAACTGTGTCTAGTTTCCTGGACGAACCGTCCTCAGTTTCAGCGGTTGATATGGCTAAAGAAGCCGTGGTAGCATATGTTTTTTCGGATTCTGGATTGTCGAATTCTTCGGCTTTTTCTCTTCACTTAAGTGACGAGTAAGCTTCCTTAACTTTTCTACCTCCATTTTTAGACCTTTTAACCCCCCCCCCCCTCAATTTTCGAAAAGTTATGGATGAGTCGGAAAGATGTGGTACAGATTTCATCGTCGTATGTGACATCCCCCAACGTCACTAGACATTTTGCTCGTTTTACGGGCATTGGTCTGACAGCAGAACGTCAAACACTGGAGTCATTAGTATCATGCGTAATACATGATGTATCATTTGTTTTGGGGATACCGGCGCGAGTCAGTGGCTTAGTGGTTATGACGGTTTTCTGGCCGAGCGACTGACCGGGTTCGACTCCCGCCTGGGGCAAACACTTTACGCCGTGTTTTGAGGACATTTATCTGAATAACATTACTGAGTTTCCAAGTTTCAAACGGTTTTCTTAAAGGTATGAGACGAATTTTCAACCAGACCAAAGATATGAGGTAAACGACTCAGCCTTTCGTAGGTTTTGGGGATTTCTCAGTGCTGTTGCAGAGAGGCGACTGGACGAAGATAGGTTATCCCGCACAGGTCCTGGTGTAGGTCTCCAAGGATGGATCGGTCGCAAAGACGAATCGGATTCTTAATACCCACGAACCTTGAGGAGGTCCAGTAGATAGGAATCCCGATTAAAGTGAAATCCCCCGTGGTCGAAAATTTCAAACCAAATTCGAAACGCGCGCTTTCGTCGTCCTTCCTTTTTCATCTGGTTGCTTTATTGCTAACAGTTCTTTACGTCTTAATATTTCCTTCGTTTTTAATCTCTAATGACGTGTGTGAACTGCGCTATTCGGTGTGTAAACTTCACTACCCTCTCTTTGCCACAAAGTCATCGTCCAACTACATTTTAACCGTCACAACAAAGTAGTGATCTGCGCGGACTGCGGACGAAGTAAATACTTAAGGGCGGATAATTGTAAAAATGAAGTAGGCCATTGTTCGGCGACGAGGCCTATCTACCAGCTCTCGAATGATCTGGAGGTTTTCCATCAAGAAAAACACATATAAAATATTTACCTATGCCCTGCGCTGAAGAAATTTTCGAAAATTTCCGTGATCATATTAGTTGGATTTAGTTCAAAACCTTACACAGGCCTAAAACGTCATTCGACGACTGACAATTCACACAAATTTTTGTCGTCGAAAACGAAGGACATTTTGTGCCAGATAGGTCTCTTTAGATAAGACCACCGACAAAAGGCCTTTCGGTCGCTCAGCACCACTGTGGATGTAATGACATGATCACTTTGAAATTGAAACCCCGTTTCTGATTTCGATGATTCATTCAAACCGAATGACAGTTTAATACTAATGAAACTACCCTACAGTAAAAGTGATACGTTGGTAGATGTTGCTGGAGAATAGCTTCCAGGATAACTCAAGCCCGTACAGGAAAAAGTAGTTTTATCTAGGAATAAGCAGTAACAAGAGATACATTGAAACTATCTTCTTCTGGATGGTTGCCGAGGTGCATATAAGGTGGGAGTATAGTCTATTTGTTAGGGAGCTGGATGGGATCTGTATGGATCTTAATCCCCAGGTCTGTGGCTTACACATTAGATCGAGCCAGGCAAAACTGGTTGGTTTAGTCTCTCTGAGACTGCCAGAACGTCATAACTCTGGCGTTGGCTAGCACGCCCTCGCTCTGTTGACAATCACGTTCTGAAACCTCTGCTTTCGCCATTTGCTAGTAGTTTGGTCGGTCAAAAAAGGACCTCAGTGCCGCATTCTCTCCTCTACGCTTTGATGACCGACTCAACGTTTTGTGTCCCGTCCTCGGCTGGCCTCTAAACGGACTGTGTCCGATCGCGCCTAAATTCCTCTGTCTTTCCAATTCGTGGCGGATGACCTCATTCGGCTTAGGAAGCTCTGACCTGATGAGTTTCGTCTTGAATCCCCTCTAAACTGGCATATGCAGGCCAGTCCCGTTCGACCCGCATACTTTCCCTTTCATGAGCAGCAGTTTTTCCCCCTGAAAAGTTAACAAATTCATGCTCATCTAGTTTTTTTCATAAGGAGTGTTTTTTCACTGCTCGCTGACCGTTATTATATGTGACTCTTTATTCTACAACCGAAAATTGAGTAATGTACAGAATGTGTCTATTTACTTGAAAATTTATATTTACTTGCTATGTCGGGATCAACCAGAGTCTTTACATAAATTATTTATTTATCTAGAATGTCCTGACTATGGCGTTTGCTAGAGCGGCCTCCAAAATGGGAATTTTACGACAAAAGTTTCCTGGAATGTGAGTGTACAATACGTCCATTGGTGTTAGAGGTAAATATATCTCCTTCCAGAAAAGATATTCTGCTTTCAGGAGCCTAATTCCTTCCTACATACACTGAGAAACAGATGATTGTCGGGTTCCGTATATGGTGGGAGATGGATGGGATCTGTGTGGATCTTAATCCCCAGGTCTCTCCAATCTGTAATTGAACTGTGGTCTACACATTAGATCGAGCCAGGCAAAACTGGTTGGTTTAGTCTCTCTGAGTCCGACAGAACGCCCTGACTGTGGCGTTTGCTAATGCGGCCTCCTAAATTGACTTGGCAGTCGTATTCGACACGGACGGCTGTTACAGTGTCGAATGACTCGAGCCAGAGGGAAACCATTGTCGGAGCCTTATGCAGCGAACGGTCTCTCATTTCCCCAGACAGCTTGATTCAGAACTGGAGTAGCAGAATACTATACTGGTTGCACAAGCGTCAGCCATATGCGCACTACGGTATCTTTTAATCCTAGTTTATACTACTAGCTTCCTGTTTGCAGTTTAATGAATACTATGGCTGATGGACTTCTGACAAAGCCTTCATACGAAATTTCGGTCTGCGAATATAGACCCTAGTTCCGACCGATTTACTCCCTGTTAGTGCCTAATTACTATGGAAGTCGAAAAGCAGAAATCTTCTCAGAACTGCCGCAGGTAGATGCTGCATGTGGATGAAGAATGTATTGTCGAGGACTGCAGGGTCAACGCAAACGCCGCGAGCTGTAGTACAGCAGACCTGGCCTTCAACCATCTCCGCGCACTGAAAGTTGTGGCTTTAAGGAATGTCAACTGACAGGATACATCGATCTTCCTATTTATGTTCACCAAAATCCCTATGTGGGCATAATGCAGCGGGAAAGCTTATCACTAAGACATCTCACTTCGCCGACCGTTTCCAATCAAAGTATTCGTTTAGGCAATCTTAAAACGTTCAGATTACACGATTTATGCCGATGAAGTACTTAGTTTTCGTGTTGATACTAAAAGTGACGGAGAAGCCTATATGATGACTTACACGATTTTGTCCGTTGTTTTTGAGCGAGGTATGGTCCTGCTGCCCCACTTAATTGATATCATATGACTGGCTTCCTAAACAATTTTTGCAGATGCGATTACGCCAACTTTACAAATGCTACGCGGTTGCGCCTTCCTATACACTTTGAATTCAGCGAATGACTGTGACTCCTGTTGGGGAGTCCTTATACGCCATCCTCGGGCTACATCAGGTATCAGCTCACACGCGCATCCCTGCGCGTGCTTCGAGCTCCTGTTTCTTTTAATCCAGCCAGTGACGGTGTCGCGTAATGTGTACACGCCATCTTCGGTTACAGCAAGCCTCAGTTCACACGCACTTCCCTGCACATGCTTGCGCTATCTAAAACTAAAATGGTTTTAGGAAGCTAATCGTATGGCAGCATTCGAGTGGGACTGCAGGAACAAACCTGGCCGATTTTTGTGTGGGAATGAAAACAGGCCATTTTGACATGATGCAGTGCATGGATTACGTCTACATTACTGTATAGAATTGTTAGTAGTCTAACGCAAAGCGGATGATCGGCCAAGTTCGACAAACATCCCACAATTTATGTGAAATGGTGGTTCAGTAGCCTTATTTGTACCCCATATCATGGAGTCGACCATGGGTGACTCAAGGCGGTAAGTCGACCGAAAATATGGCATCCGTTGCCATCTATGCGGACTGCTTCAAGTGGAAGTAAACAAACTGTCACGATACAATACACAGGCCTGTCAAGAAGGTGAAAATTATGCTGCAGAGACGCATCAGACTGCTTTAGCCGCTGTTCACTTCTTAAAGTGACCTTAGAGTTACACCTGGTCGACCGAACAGAAACTATAAGCACGCACATATAGGCAGAGAAGGAGTATGTCAGCAAGTGGACTAATTATCCCACTTTGCAGCCCACGCATGGGGAGTGTTCATTAACTTAAATTTACTGCCGCAGAAATAGTCGCAGGGGTTGAGAGCAAGGAGAACAGCACATTTATCGCGGCCTAGGTGTCAGGTTAACATTTAGCTGATAGGCATATTCAAATGTTATCCGCGTACACGTCCCTACACAATCCTCTCCGGACGTATGTATGCTTGTACCTCCTTTCAAAAAAGGTGTTTTATCTTTGGGTACCTAAGTCCTGTCTACGTACCCTGGAATGTGATCTCTTGACCCAACTTTTTATTCCCCCTGATACGGAGAGCGCATACATTTTACCAGTTGATATTTCGAATAATTATGGTTTATTTACAGAAAATTATGGTGTTAGGATTTCCAAATTTTAAAACATAATCTCAGCTGTAGCAAAAGACTTTAAGAAAATTTGTATAATGTCGTCCAGACAAAATTACACAAAACGCGTTATCCATACCTAACAAATGAACGCATGCTATACGAGCATG